TGAGTGAGGTAACCCAGACTCAGAAAGACACACACAGTATGTATTCCATCATAAGTGGATATTAGATGCAAAGCAAAGAATAACCAGAACAACATATGTAGCTCCAGAGAAGATAGGTAACAAGGAGGACCATAATAGGAGCACATGGATCACTCTTGGAAGACAAATTAGATCATATCTACAGGGAAATCTATGGGAGGGGTAATGAGGAGTAGAGGAGGGATGTGAAAACAGGAAGGAATGAGATGTCTTAGGTGGGCAGGGATGCATTAGAAGAGAAATGAAACAGATATCTTAATAGAAAGAGCCAATCCTGGTAGTAGGGTAACTCCCAAGAATCCACAAGGAAGACCCCAACTAAGAATCCTAGCAATAGTAGAGAGGATGACTGAATTGGTCAACTCCTGTATTCAGATTGGTAAATATCCCAACTAACATCATAGAGCCCTCATTCAGTATTTGATAGAAATATGCAGAGATTCACAACCACGATCAAGTGCTAACTCCAGGAATCCAGGGGAATAGAGGGAAGAGAGAATATATGAACAAAGGAGGTCAAGATCATGATGGATAAATCTACAGAGACAGCGGAACCAAGCTCGTGGGAACTCACAAACTCTAGAACTATAACTGTGGAGGACCAAACTAGGCACTCCATATGTGAGAGACAGGTGTGAAGCTTGGACTATCAAAGGGTCCCTGGCATTAGGATCATGATACAAACCTGCTACATAAGCCAGCTTGTTGGAGCCAATTCCTTAGGGTGAGATGCCATGCTCTGTGGAAGTATGACCACAGTATCATCCCAGTACATGAGCTAGCTTGGTGGAGTCCATTCCTTATGGCGGGATGCCATGCTCAATGTTAATGCATGCTAGAGGGGCCTGGCCCTGCCCCAAACTATGTGTCAGACTATGTTGAATCCTCATGGGAGAATTTAGTGGTGAGGGGGAGTGGAAGGAAGCAAGGAGGGTGGAAGGAAGAGGGAGAGCCAGAACTATGGTTGGAATGTAAAATGAAATAAAAAATTTAAAAATGGGAAAAAATAAAAATAAAACTTAATTTTACACTATGCATCATTCAATATAAGTTTATTAATGGATATTCAGTATATATAATAAGACTAATTTTCTTAGATCTCTAATATGTTATATGTTTCCTGAATGTTGGTATATGAAATCCGCATTAGTTAGTTTTCGATAGCAATGAACAAAATACACAAAAGAGTAATTTGGGAGGAGATTTATTTTAGTGCATATGTGAATGCCTGCTGAGAGGCCTGCTGGTTCATGACAAGGTCTTCAATTTTTTATTTTCCCTAGAAGATTTTGTTCACCTGAATTATTATTGTACACATGTCACTCATTCCTTATTATATAGTTGTCATATTTCACCAAACATATGTATGATCATATATATTATATATATATATATCACTGCCATTACTTATAAATGTGTCATAGGATAAATTATAATTGTGCCATATGATAATTTATATGAACAATTCTTTTGCAGATTTTGCTTTTTATAATAGTAATGAAAGGGGAAAGTTCAAGCAGTGGCATTTGTGAATTAAATTACATGATTGCTATGATTACAGGCATGCACTGTCATGTCTAGTTAAGACCTGAATAGCCCAACACAGATGAAGCAGAAAGAAGGACCTTAAAAACCATTTTATGAAGATGATAGAGACCCTGAAAGAGGAAATGAGAAAAATCCCTTAAAGAAATAGAAGAAAAAGCAAACAAAAAATACATGAAACGGAGGAAAAGACAAACCAAAAAATAAAGAAATAAATCATTTAAAGCATCGAAAGAAAGCAAAGAAAAAACAACAAAGAAGTGAAGGAAACAATTCAAACAACTCCAGACTTGAAAGCTGAAGTAGAAACAATAAAGAATATACCAAATGTGGGGATGCTGGAAATATAAAAGCTGGGTAAACAATCAGGAACTACAGATGAAAGTATAGCCAATAGAATACAAGAGAAGGAAGAGACAATCTCAGGTGTTGAAGACCCACTAGAGGATACACAGTCATTGACCAAAGAAAATCACGAGTTCAAAAAATCCCTTATACAAAATATCCAGGAAATATGACCACCATAAAAATGTAAAACCCAAGAATAACAGACATAGAAGGTGAATAAATGCAACTCAAAGGTACAAAAAGCATATTCAACAAAATCATAGAAGAAAACTCCCCAACCTAAAGAATGATATACCTATGAAGTTACAAGAAGCTTGCAGAACATCAAATAGACTGGACCACAAAAAGAAGGCCTCTCACCACATAATACTCAAAATAACAAACTTACAGAATAAAGAAAAATATTAAGGCCAGCAAAAGGAAAAGGCCAACCAATAAATAAACGCAAAACTATCAGAACTACACCTGACTTCTCAATTGAAACTTTGAAAGCCAGAAAGTTCTGGATAGATGTTCTACAAATGCTAAGGGAACATGGATAACAGCCCAGACAACTGTACCCAGAAAAACTTTAAATCATTGTAAATGGAGAAAACAAGATATTCCACGGCAACACCAGATTTAAAGAATACATATCCACAATTCCAGCCCTACAGAAAGTACTGGAAAGAAAACTCAAATCCAATGAAGATAACTACACTGATAAAAACATAAGCAATAGATAATCCCACTTTACCAAATACCAAAAGAAAAAGGGGGATCCACTCACAATAGCAATAGTAACAAAAAATTAAAAAATAAACAAGAATTGGCAATCAAGTCTACAAGCTCATGGAAATTGAACGATGCACAATTGCACCAGTCATGGGTCAAGGAAGAAATTAAAAAGAAATTAAAACTTCCTAGAATTCAACAAGAATGTAGACACAACATAACCAAACTTATGGGACACTTTGAAAGCAGTGCTAAGAATAAAGTTAATATCACTAAGTGCCCATGTGCAGAAACTGGAGAATAATCACATTAAAGAATTAATAGCACAGCTGAAAACTCAACAACAAAAAGAAACAAACTCTCCCAAGAGATTTAGACACTAAGAAATAGTCAAATTGAGGGCTGAAATCAATAAATTAAAAACTAGGAAAACATTGCAAAGAATCAATGAAAAAAAAAGAGTTGGTTCCTCAAGAAACAAAGTAGACAAGTTTTTTTTATCATTTTTTATTTTAATTTTAAATAGCTTGTTTTACATGTCAATCCCAGTTCCCTCTCCCTCCCCTCCTCCCGCACTCCCCTTCCCCCCTCCCACCCTATTACCAAATCCTTCCACATAGGGGATATCTAGAGTCTGTCATTTTACTCTTGGTAGGGTCAAGGCACTCCCCTAAGAGTCCAGGCTGAGAGAGCATCTCTCTTTGTGCTATAGGCACATGAAGACAGTTTGTATACCAGGGATAGACACTGATCCACAGCTCAGGGCCCCATAGGTTGACAGAGTAAACAAGTTTTTATCCAAACAAAAATGCAGAGAGAGAGAGCATGCGAAATTGAGAAATCAGAAATGAAAAGGGGAATATAACAACAGACAATGAGGAAATCCAGAGAATCACCATGTCATAGTTTAAAAACATGTACTCCACAAAATTAGAAAATCCAAATGAAATGGACAATTTTCGGGATACATATCACTAACGAAAATTAAATCAAGAACAGAAAATCAAATTAAATAGACCTGTAACCCCTAATGAAATAGAAGCAGTCATCAATTCTCCTAATATACAAAAGTCCAGGGCCAGATGGTTTCAGGGCAGAATCCTGCCCGAACTTCCAAGAAGAGGAAATACCTGTTCTCCTTAAATTGTTCCACACTATAGAAATAGAAGGGACATTGCCAAACTCTTTTTATGAGGCTATTCTTACCTGGTAATCAAGATACACAAAGACACAATTAAGAAAGAGAACTACAGGCCAATATCCCTCATGAACATTGATGCAAAAATACTAGACAAAATACTGTCAAATTGAATCGAAGAGCACATTAGAAAAATCATCCACCATGATCAAGTAAGCTTCATCCCAGGATTGCAGGGATGATTCAACATTAGAAAATCTATCAATGTAATCCAACATATAAACAACCCGAGAAACAGAAATCGCATGGCCATCACACTAGATGCTAAAAAAAAAAAAAAACCTTTGACAAAATCCAACACCCCTTCATGATAAAAGTCTTGGAAATCAGGAATAAGAGGAATAACAAAACATAATAAAAACAATGTACAGGAAACCAATAGCCAATATGAAACTAAATGTCGAGAAACTCAATGTAATTCCTTTAAAATCAGCAACAAGAAAAGTCTGCCCACAATCTCCATATCTGTTCAGTATTGTACTTGGTGTTCTATCTAGAGCAATAGTACAACAAAAGTATATCAAGGGAATTCAATTTGGACAGGAAGAAATCAAGCTTTCATTATTTGCTGATATGATAGTTTACATAAGTGACACTAAAAGCTTTACACGGGAACTCCTACAGCTAATAGATACCGTCAGGACAGTGGCAGGATACAAAATTAACTCAAAAACATTAGTAGCCCTACTATATACAGACAATAAATGGGTGAGAAAGAAATCAGAGAAACATCACCCTTTACAATAACCATAAACAACATAAAATACTTTGCGGTAACGCTAAGCAAACAGGTGAAAGAACTGTATGATAAGAACTTTGAGTCTTTAAAGAAAGAAATTAAAGAAGGTGACAGAAAACTAAAGACCTCCCATGCTCTTGTATAGGTAGGACCAAAACATTAAAAATGGCAATTTTGCAAAGCAATCTACAGATTTAATGCAATCCCCATCAAAATCCCAACACAATTACTCACAGACCTGAAGGAACTATACTCAACTTTATATATAAAAACAAAAACTCAGGATAGCCAAAACAACCCTGTACTATAAAGCAACTTCTGGAGGCATCACCTTCCTTGACTTCAACCTCTTCACAGAGCCATAGTCCTGCAAACAGTTTGGTATTGGCACAAAAATAGACAAGTAGACCAAGAGAATTGGATTGCAAACTCTGATATTAAGCCACACACCTAAAAACACCTTATTTTTGACAAAGAAGCTAAAGTTATACAATGGAAAAAAGGAAGTGTTACTAGAATGGGTATGGGGAATATCTCATTACTTATTTGGCCTATTCCTATTGTGTTGTTCATCTTGTGAGATTTCATTACACAAGGTGTCCCCTTCTCTCTAATAATTCTGACCTGAGTATTCACACATGCATGTGTGTCTATGTCCTGTGACTTTTCATAAGAGCTGGCTCTTAAATAAATATGATGCAAGTTTTCACTGAACCATCATCCAAATATGTTTTGCATTCTTAATGAAATATTCTTATGGGGTAGTGATCCAAAGAATATTCAGTACCATCAAAATCTCAATTACAAGTCTATATTAAGCAATAGTTTGAAAAGAAACAAGTCTCATAGAGCAGCCTCGAATGCATTTTACAAGGAGCTTTGAAAGGAACAAACCTAGAAAAACTATATACTCTTTAGCAATTGGCAGGGGAAAGTAAAAAGCAAACAGTTTAACAGAAGCTAAAAATATGCTGTTAGCTGGAGCATTTCATTCCCCAGTTGCTAGAACATTGTTGGATACTTTCCCACGGGACTTTTGAGGAAAACATTAGAAGAAGCAATGGATATATTTCAAGTTTGTGGTCGTCATTGAATTTCTCTTCTTTTACACCATGAGTAGCATGGTGATTAAGGAGTTTTGGCAATTTTCTAAACCAAGTCTTGTGTGTTTTCTCTTCACACTTTATTGTATGTCTTTCACTACTCCTGTTTAAAAATGGTCTCAGTTAAATGTCCATATAAAAATTCATACATGAATATCTGCAGGAGTTGTTTTCAATGTTTAAAAGATGGGACAGGAAAATGACAAATATTATAAACAGGTAATTGTGGTAAACCCATATTTCCAGTAGTCAATAAGAATGACATATTCATACATATAACACAAATATGTCAAATTGGTTATGCAGAATAACAGTAGACAAAATGTAAATCAATTGGTAGTCATATTGATATAAACCTTTTGAAGAACTTACGTACAATAAAATTGGTGGTTACCTAGGGACTAAGGGAAGGGTATGAAGAAGGACGTTGCGTAGAATCCTGAAGGAACACATGGTAACTTTACAGCTCTGGGGTATGTTCTGCATCACTGCTACAGTGGCTTTATAATATATACACATTTATCAAACTACACAGTTATATACAATATAGACAGAGTATGCTGATTACAGTCCATAAAGTCTATAAAATAATCCATTTAATATTCTGGACCACGAACTTCTACTGGCAAGTCAAACAAGTGGACATTGATATAGTAATTCTACTGTGTCACTACCAATGCCTTAAGATACCTTTTTCCCCCAGTCATAAGCAACAAAGGCATTTCCACTGTAACCAAGAATTCTGGCTACTCATGAAACTTACATTCTTTAATAATTCTTGGATCATATTACTCTCCTCTAGGGGTTACTGCTTATACAACAAAGACTTTTGGCAAAGACCTCAGGAAGGCATAAGAATTAAGAAAAAAAATAAACAAAAAATACATCAATGCTGAGATAGTGACCTTGGTCCTAAGTGACATAACAATTTATGCTGTAGAATTCTATAAATCCTCTGATCCTACATAGCTATCATGAGTAGAACATTTAGGAATGTTCTTACCATGGGAATTTCCCCTGTAGTTAATTGAAATTAATCTGTACTTAAAATATTCACATCCACTCTTTCTATACTTTTGTTTAGTGGCACTTGGGAATATTCAGCTGGTAGCCTGTATGCCAATCCTGAACATGGAGAATACAGAAACATAGGGCTCCTTAACTGTGCATGTGCTAAAAATGAAACATATGACCCATTTTGCTCCCAAACACATAGTGGGGTGTCACAGTACCAGTTCATGAGACTTCAAATAACTGAAATCCAGTCAATTAAGATCCTCCAAATATGTGAAATTATTACCTATGAAGCGTTTTTCAATAATACAAGAAAACACCATTATTGAACCATAATTCTCCATCAACCCACTGTCTCATTTAAAATACAAGATTGTTGTTCTCTTTAATTTGTCAGATCCTAACTTTGTTTTTGATGCACTCTAACCTCCCCTAAGATTAAAAGTAACTTAAATTCTTAGACATTGATTATTGGAAACTAGCATAACAGGAGGCAACTACTTGTTCTGGGTGAATGACTTAAAAGATGGGCAAAGCCCATTATGTTACAAAGTTCAGACAGAGCTGGGCACAGTGTCATTAGTCTAAACTCTCTCCTACTAAGGAGACTGAGGAAAGGGAGGTTCAAGGCTTGCTTAAGCAAAATAACAATACTGTCTCAAATAAACAAAAAATATTTCACATAAAAACAAGCTCCATGAAGCAAATTATCTGTGCAAGCCAAACGCAAAGCACAGCTCACTCAGATCCTTGGCTGGAGTCAATGCTATCAGTCAGATATGAGACTATTATTATGTGCTTCACAATTACCAAAGAGTGCATAAGTCTGGTCTTCCCAGAGGATGTTTGAAGGATAAAGACGGAGTTGTTCGGGTGGTTTCAGACTTCTTTACTAAGAGACAAGAGTCTGGCAAGTTACTCGAACCAGTCAGAAAGTACAACATAGGTCTTTGAGGTTTCCTACAAACCTGCCGTGAAGGCATCTCCCTGCCATGACTTCTCACTATGAGATTCAACACCTGACTGAATACAAGTGTGTTGCAAGCAGTCCTAAAGCCTTCCTCCTGCATGAACCTTCTGATGCCGATTCAGGTGGGAGCTTAAGCTGTAGGCTTTGCCACACTCGCTGCACTCATACGGCCTCTGTCTCCAGAGTGAACTTTCTGGTGCCGAACAAGGTGGGAGGTTCTGATGAAATCTTTCCCACACTTGCTGCACACAAAAGGCCTTTCCCCAGTATGAACCCTTTGGTGTGCTAGAAAATCGGAACTTCTACTAAAAAGTTTCTCACATTCAGTGCACTTGAAAGCCTTCCTCTCAGTGTGAACTCTCTGATGTTTAATGAGGGTGTACCTGTGGCTAAAAGATTTCCCACAGAAACTGCAATCGTAAGGGTTTTCGCCAGTGTGGATGCTTTCATGCTGAGCAAGGGTAGTCTTGTGTCTGAACACTTTCCCACAGTCATTGCACTTATAAGGCCTGGATCCACTGTGCACTCTAAGATGTACTAACAGGTTAGAGTGATGGCTAAAATACTTCCCACATTCGGGGCACTTGTAAGGCATTTCTCCAGTGTGGATTCTCTGGTGCTGGATGAGTGTCGCTTTGCGAGTGAACGCTTTCCCACATTCGTGGCACTCATAAGGCCTTTCTCCAGTGTGGATCCTCTGGTGCTGGATGAGTGTCGCTTTGCGACTGAAGGCTTTCCCACATTCGCTGCAGTCATGAGGCTTGTCTCCACTATGCATCCTCTGGTGTTGTACAAGGTTATCTTTGCGGTGAAAACTCTTCCTGCACTCACTACACTTATAACTCATTTGTGCAACCTTGAAGTCCTCTCCATACTCAGTGCTCCCTGCTGTCTTCTTGCTACAGGTGACCTTTTGTTGGCGACCAATCAAACTGTCCTGAACGTTTCTCTGTTCCGCCTCCCGCACAGAGAACTTCTTTGAACTGTAAGGCCCTATATGAACTTGGAAATTCCTAGCTGACAACGAGGCTTTACTTTCATTTCTTTGTAAAGAGCTGTCTACAGTATTATGCGTTCGTTTCTGGCAAAAGTTTTCGCTTAAAGAGAACTGTCTCTCACATGCCCTGCCTGAACAAGCTGTAAGTGCAGGGTGTGGTCCTTGGTGATCCTCCGCATCCAAGAGCTCATTGACAATGGGGCCACATATGTCACAACGGTAAGTTTTCTGTGTGAAGGGCACTCCAACACAAACGCGTGGTTCCGAATATTCTTCAGCCTTCACTACACACCAACAACCTGAAGGCAGAAAAAAACACCAGCGATGTACACTGTGAAATATATTTTGTCTTAGTCAAGGTTACTGTTGCTGCAGTGAAACACTGGGACCAAAAACAAGTTGGAAAGCAAAGGGTAGATTCAGCTATCTCTGCAACATCACTGCTCATCCCCAGAGGAAGTCAGTACAGGAACTCAAGTGGGGCAGGAACCTGGAGCCAGGAGTACTGTGGAATAATCGTCTACACGGTGAAAATGTGTTGCTCTCATTGCTAATCAAAAGCTGATTGGCTGCTAGCCATGCAGGAAGTATAAGCAAGACAACCAAACAAAGGATGCTGGGATAAAGAAGGGAGGAGTCAGAGATGCCAGCAGATGCAAAGGAAGCAGAACATGTAGAAAAATGAGATGAAATGCCATAAGCCATGTGGTAATACATAGATTAATAGAAATAGGCTAATTTACACTGTAAGAGTTACCTAGCAATAAGCCTGAGCTATTGGCCAAGCATTTATAGTGGTTAATATTAAGATTCTGAGTGGGGATTTGGGAGTGGGTGGGCAGGGCAGGAGGCTTTTGCCTACACAGGAGCTGATACAGAAACCATGGAGGGATGCTGCTTGCTGGCTTTTTCAGATTGCTTGCTTGTAGAACCCAGAACCATCAGACCAGGAATGGAATCACCCACAATGGGCTTGTCCCTCCCCCATGATGAATTTTTTAAAAATGTCTTACAGATGATTCTTATGGAGAGATTTTCTCAATTGAAGTTCCCTCCTTTCAGATAATTCTAGCTTGTGTCAAGTTGACGTAAAACTAGTTAGCACATAAGTCTAGGTTAAGTTCCTGGGGTTGCTGACAAGATAAAAGTACAATCCGTTTGATATTACTTTATACAGTGCTAAAGTCCAGGTACAATAGAATAGAGGGAGCTATGAGAAAGAAATAGAAGAATGAGGTTAGTCCAGGGAGAAAAGGTAGTCTCCATATTACTTGACTAAGATAACTTTTAGAAAGACTTTGCCTGACTGCTAGGAACAGGTCAGAGTTATACATAAGTCAGTATCCTGGCCCAGGAATATATGATTTAAAATGAGCGGTTTATACGCAAGAACTATTAAATGATTGTGTACACATCTGATGATCTTAGTTTAGTTCAACAGCCTCAGTTCAGTATAATATTAGAAAGGACTGCAGAAGGGCCAATAGAAGACACCTGCATTAGACTTGGGAAGAAAGGCCCTGAACCAGAAATTAGTGCAGAAATAACAGAAAGAGTAGATAGAGAGGAAAAGATAAAAAGAAGGTATAGCCTTTGGACCTGGCCTCAAGTGGCAGGAGTCACCAAGCAGGTTTCTGATGCTGTCTGAAAATCATCTGAAAGTCATGCTTGACTTGATCCAAGTCCCTCCTCCTTCTGCTGTGTTTAGAATCATTCCCTCTTAGTCAGAAGCCCAGGACTCGTCTTGCCCTTGTCCGCCATAGTTCAGGAACCATAAAGAATCACGAAGACAGAAAACACCAGGGAAAGGATAGGTGAGTATAAAAACCCACCCACCCAAGACTGGGAGGAAAACACAATAAAATAGAGCCGTCTTGCACAGTCCAGTGAGTTCCACAATGATTATGATGACTGAAATCTTCATTTACTCATCCAAGAAAATGTCAGATAAAGGGGACAGAACATGGAGCCCCAAAGTTTGCTAACTGTGGGCCAAGTCCTGTCACCAGGGTGAAAGCATGCAGGGTGTGATGTACAGACCCTGATCCCCAAATACATCCTGGCTAGTCTCCAGGCAATGAGAATTGGGGTCCAAAGGGAATGGAGGAGAAAATTTATTATGTCTGAGGCTTGGCACCCAGAGAGCCTATATGAGGGAATGAGGGAAAACCATAGTGGCTATTACCCAGCTATGGTAAGAAAAGAAAAAGCTCTGTAGTTAGGGGAGGAAAAAAAAAAAGGAACGGTACCAGCCCAGAAGCCTAGGATAGCTCTCTATTCAGGGACAAAGTAAAAATAAGGCAGAGAACGCGTTATACCACAACAGTACAATGTCCGAACTTCATCAAAAATCTCCCACATCAACCAGGAAGATCACCTAAATTCACTCTCAGTCTATTTCATATGACCCTGAGCCAAATGGAAAACCGTCCTCAAGTTTCCTGTTCACCATCTCCAACACCACATAAAACAAAACTCATAGTAATTCGGGACTCTCAGCCAAATCTCTATGCGGGTCTCCAGAGATCCCTTCCTCAGGATGCCGGACCAGATTAGTTGGCCAGCTCTCCTGCTGGTTGCACTGTGAGACACCCTGGATTTAGCATGTTCAAAACCGAATTCTTAAGCCTTCTGATGAAAATATTCACACACCTCCCCCCCCCCCCCCGCCTCCAACTTATCATTTTCAGCCTTTCAGATGTTTATGTAATGTTGGGGGTGGTAGCGGGACAGCTCTTCGCGACCTGTTTTCACAACCACATAATAAGCTGCAGGAAACCGTGATGGCTCCAGATCCAGAGTTAATCTCCACAATTTAATGACTACCCAGAATCCATTCCACGCTCCCCCGACCCTGTGCTAACCTCGTCCAGTTATTACCAGGAAATTCTCAGAGCAGTTTGCAGTAGCTTCCTGGCCTGAGCCCCTGCTTAGTCGCTATCCCATTTGCACGGTACACTGTTTCCTAAAAGGAGACTGGAATACACTTTTAAATGGTTTTTGTTGTTGTTGTTTTAAGATCATCATTCAAAATGCTGCTTAGCGTGTCAGGCTGGGTAGGAATGACACGGAATGATTGTTACAGTCTCTGCTGACCAAAGGGGGTTAGAGAAGGGGGAGAGGTCGGGTTCCACTGTTCCCTGGCAACTCGCCAAGCCTCTGCTCTGCTCGTGTTTCGTTCTGCCATCACGTCGACCTCCATTCCACTGCTGGCCAGAAACCGCAATCCTCCCACCCACACGGGACCCCTGCCGTGGAGTTACTAGCCGATGAATTTGTTGTTAGAGGTTGGGGATGGCAAGTGAAGGACTGAGAATTTAGGACCCACCTGCGCAGGGTTCATGGCCAAAGCCCTCACCTGCCTGAACAGCACCAAAGCAAGGCGAGCAGGGACCGCTGTCACCCGGCCCTGGAGACGAGATATCCTGGCTCGGTCAGCGCCCAGTACTTCGGCAGTGGAAACTGAGTGTCTCCTTTTGTCCAAAGTTTGGGACAGAGATCTGCCATGTGCCCAAAGCGGAGACGATTCCGGAAGTCTCCCCTGAACGGAAATGCTTCCAGCGGATGCACTGCATTCTGGGCAATGTAGTTCCTTCAGGGAAAGTGACCCAAGGGGAATAGACTCTGGGTGGCATCATTTGGGGGTCTAAACAGTGTGACTTGTCTGGAAATTCTGGCAAGTTCCCAGAACCTCTCTTGGAATAGCGAACATCCTTCGTGTGAGAAAAAACAAGGAGTGAAATATTGGGATAATTATGTACATACATCAAAATCAGAAAGGGTTTTGTTACCTGACAGCTCCTATGTTCTTCATTCATAAAATAAGTTAAATACAAAGCTTTAAGTCAATTGTCTAAGGTCCAATGGTGGGGATGGTCCCAAGCCATAAAGTGGAAGAATGGGTTTTAGAGAGAGATTTTGGAGGGATATTTGAGTTAGCACGTTGACTAATTTGGAGCAATTCCTTGGCTTTCCTCAGAGAAAATTCCCAGCTATGACAGCCACAGGAGAAGGCCCCAGGTTGGCAGGAGGTAACAAAACATTCTAAAAGCAGGTGGTGAACAGAGGCACCTATCTGTATCCAAGCAAGGAAGTAGCACTCTTTATCTAGATGGTACCCCTTGGTGCTCAAACTGAGATGAATTAATTTACTTTTAGGAATATGCCGCCTATTTGAAAAACAAGAAAGGTTCTAATTGTTCCATGTGCCAAGATAAAGAGTTGGCATTGTCTCGCTGACAGCCCATGTGTATCGACAGCATCAGTAGATGGAAAGGCAGACTTAGCATAAGTGACTCCATTTTACCTACAATTAAAGGAGCAACATTAGACTTGAAATTCCGAATGGCTCGTGGGGGAGACAGAAGCTTGAACTGTTTACACAACTGAAACCTGTTTAACCACAACTCTTTCGTCTTCACATGTACATACATATTCATGGGGAAGCCAATGACACGTGGAAAGAGCTAGGATATCAGAGATACTGAAGTCTCAGGCATGCTCACCGTTGTGCACAAGGGTGCTTGAATTTTGACAGTAGCAGAGGTTAATCCTAAAATGGAACTTCTATGTATTCTAAAAAACTAAGTGACCTCAGATGAGTGTCACACACTGAAGAGGGAGCATACGGAGTTCTACTGTGCCTCTATATGCATCTAGGAAATGTTTAGGAAGTACCTACTGCATTTCAGGAGCTATCTTTTGGTGGAGGAACAAATTTGAAAATAATGAACCAAGACGCAGGTCATGAAATAACTTCCATTCAAGAAAGTGGAAGAAATATGAGAAGTAC